GGAAACACTTCAATTAAGACATTTTAAGCCACCAATTTCATTTGTCCGAGAACTAGAGGAAGGTCTCACTTACTCAGTTTCGATGGAGGAAGGCTCGGGGCTGTTCACAGACCTGCTAAGGATAGGGTCGCCAGATTTAACAAATAAAAATCCAGGCAATGGTTGGGACATACTTAAACTGAAAAAGTTATTCGTTGTCTGTTTGCAGCTCCGATTTAACTGGGCGCCCTGCATTTTATCTGGCAATCCTCGGTAGGGAAGCACTGCTCGCTGAGAGCCTTGGCAAACAAGACACAGCTGTCCCTTCCTTCCTCCCCCTGTGGCCTGTCACCATGAGTGGCTGGTTTTGGGGACAGGTATATCCGGCTTCCCTTGGAAAATCACATCTTTCTGTCCTTTAAACCCTATTTTGAGTGGCTGCCATTTTTGCCTTCACAGGCCCAGTGAGTGGGACTCAGGCACACGGTGCTGAGCCGTCCTCACCCTTGTCCCAGCCACCTCGGTGACATTCCACCTTGATGGCACCCGCCTCGAGTAGGGTGACTCAGATCTTCCCAGGCAAGATGTGGCAAGTCCCTTTCTGCTCCATTTCTTATCCCCCAGCCTGTGCCCCAAACCTCTGCCTACCTCCTGCTATCACCAGGCCTCACCAAGCTCAGGACAGTCTGGACACAGAGTAGGTGACCAAGGAGGTCTGTCCCCACGCCCTCTACAGAGCCCAGAGCCCCTGCTCAGAGGCCTCAGGAGAGCTGACGTGTTGGCCATGGCTCTGAACAGGGGTTCCTCCCCAGGCTCTGGGGCCTGCAGGGCCCGCCCCCCCCCCCAGGCACCCAGCGTCCCACATGCTGCTCTGGGCATGGTCCCGAGTCGCCCTGAGCCTTGACCTTACCTGAGAAGGCCTCAGAACACCCCCTTTCCCAGGCCAGAACTGCCCTGGAACTCTCTTCTCCCCCAAAACGCAAAGGCATTTTTCTCTCCCCCAGGCTGTGGTTTTGGCAATTGCCCAGGGCTCCCGCATTCTGCCCCAAACTATTCTTGCCATGGGGGGAGGAGATGGGGGGCGGCAGAGAGAGCTTCCCAACCCCAGTCTTAAGCCATACCTCTCTGGCTTTCTCACGCCACGCTCTGCCTCCTCGCCTGTGGGCAGCTCTGCCTGAGCAGCCGTGCTGGCTGGCGGCTCCCATCTGGAGGAGTCCAGGGCCTCCTGTTCGGGCGCACTCAGGCCCTGGCCCCCCCACCCAGCTTTTATGGAGAATTCCGGAGCTGCCACTGCTCTCGCTGGTGTGCTTAGAGAACCTGTGGTTTGCGGGAGACGTACGGCCAGGCCCACTGGGGAAAAGAAGCTGGTACCTCCGTCTCCCGCGTCCCCTTGGTTCAGGTACCACTTAGCTGAACCACAAAGCAAATTTCCCCAGTTGATTGGGTTCCATGATCTGCATTTACAGGGGCTGCTGTGCAGTGGCCCTCTCAGCGTGTCTGCGAGCCAGTCTGTGGGATCCAGGTTGTAATTACCCGTGCTTTACACTGTGGGTTCCACTTTCAACCTGCTTTGAGATCCTTGGATGAAAGAAGCCACAGAGTCATTATGGCTGCCTATAAAAAAGGAGCCAGACGCGTGTATACCAGCTCTTGGGTAACTCCCCCACATCTCCACCTCCAACAGGAGCACCCACCCACTCACCCCCCTGACCTCTCCCAACTCTGCAGCTCCCAGAGGAGCTGCTCAAAGGGGAGCCGCCCACAGACCCCACCCCACGGTAGCCGCCAAGTGCCTCAGGAACATCCAACAGGGAGCGAGGCCCCAGTAGCCCCCGAGATGTGCTGACCTAGGCAGGGAGGGACAAAGGCCCAGCAGCTGGCACAGGGAGGCTGGAGCAGCACCATAGACCACAGCGGTCCTGTGGCAACACTTTCTTCTCCTCCCCAGGCTTTCCTTGGGAGTGTGGAGGGCAGTGGGGAGGAGACGGCGAGGTCTCCCTTGCCAGGAGAACCTGGACACCCTTATCTCTTACTCTATGACTTCTGAAGACCCTCAAGGCTGTCACCCGCAACAGAGAGACAGCAGGCACCCAAGGGCACTCTGCTTGCTCCAGTGCCCAGCTGCCCAACGCGGGGCCATGTTGGGAGCAGGCCAGGGTAGGACCACATCTAGAGCCTTGTCCCTTCTCTCTGTGTCCCAGAAGGTGGCCTTAGAGACATTGACCTGCTTTCTGGAGTGAGCCTGCCCCCTGCAGGACCCAGGCAGGACATGCAGCCCCTTGGGGAGCTGGGAAAGGCACTGGCTCGTCCATCTGGGCGGAGCCTGAGGAGAGGGAGGCGCCTTTTGTTGAGGGCGAGATAGAGGGTGACAGGGCAGCCAGGAGCCACAGGCTGCAAGCCAGTTAGCCACCTTCGTGCAGCACCTGCTGTGCGGAGGCGCCTCGCCCTGGAGCTCCGAGGCATGGGGACACCATAAGAATGTTCTGTGGTTGATGTCTTTGTCCCATGAACATTGGGGCTTTGGAGGGAGCCTGTTTCTCCCCCCAGAGACCCAGAGCTGAACGCTCGACTCTAACAAAGGCCAGCTGCTGTCTTGGAAAGCCCATGGGACGAGGCCCCAGCTCTCCTGCTGGGCAGCTCACCTCACCAGCCTTAGCCTCCGCCTTCAGGGCTGTGCGACGGGGCAATGGTGCCGGTGCCAACTCGTGCGTGGATTGTTGTAAAGATAAAAGAAAGAAAGCATGAAAGGAGCTCTGTACGGAGCGAGCGCTGGGCACATTATTCCCTTCCCCTTTGTCACCGTCTCCTCTAGTTTGGAATCTGCTCCATTAACACACAACGCAAATGTTTTTATTTGCAAACAACCACAGACAAGAGGAAAAAGTGAAGAGCCCCCACACCAGAGTCCAGGAGGCCGGTTACTGTGTAAAGAGTGAGCTGAGCCGGAGGAGGCTGCAAGTTGGCGCTGGGACTTCCATAGAGGCGGTGAGGGGGCAGGGCCGGGGGCGCCGAGGGGAAGCAGGAGGAAAGGCAGCGCAGGCCCGTCACCCGTTGAGTCCTGTGGCCGGTCACCGAGCGGCCGGGAATGGCAGGCCGAGGGGGCACTACCGGTCTGGATGCCCTTCACCCCAGCAGGAAGCAGGGAGACAGCAGGCTAGGGCCAGGCTAACCGTCTGGGGCCCCTGCTCCCCAAAGCAGCCGTGCACTGGCCCCTCGGAGCCTATCCAGCGCCCTCTGTACCTCTCATCCACATCTCCGCGTTAACTGACTCACTAGAACCGTTGCTCCCGTATTACAGGACACCCTATAATATGGTGTTGAACTAGCTCACGTGCCCCTGCATGTCTGGTTTACCCCAGTTGCCCGTGTTTGCTCGGTGCCCTCATCTCTGAGCCACCTGTGCTGCTGTGTTTGTTATTGTTGCACCTGTGTGCTGGTGGCCTGCTCAGGTGTCTGTCCTTCCGCACTGGGAGCTCCCTGGGCTGGGCTTCTCGGGGTGAGCTGCTCACCCACAGCCCCAAGTCGGGGTCTTGACACATGCCACCCACAGAAAACAGGCCAGAATCAAAAGTACGTTTGCAAAAAGTAGGAAATTTTATTGAATTATTTTTTTTTTTTTTTTAGCAGAGAAGCTGAGAAATCAGAGCAGCCAGGTCAGGAAGAAAAGGAAGCCAATTCAGAGAGAAGAGCAAGGAGCACCCCCCCTTGGGAGTCAGGGTCGGAGGGGCCGGGGCCGGGGAGCAGAGCAGCCCAGCTTCCCGCAGTCCCTCCCTCTCTCCTGCAGGAAGCTTCAGCCCTCTCCTCCTCTGGATGCTGAAGACAGAGAGAGGGGCTGCCGCGCAGACTTAAGACCGACGGGCGTCCGAAGTGCGGCGATTGGAAGTGGGGAGAGTGGTAGTGGGGCTGCCGGAGCCGGCGCTGCCGCTGCCGCTGGCACTGCCGCCGGCGCTGGTTCTGGTGGCTGCTGGGAAACAAGGAGGCAAGAGATGCTCAGCCTGAACATTCTCACCACAGGCCAGGTCAGGGCCCCCAGGAGAGCCCCAAACCCCCTCACTGGTCAGGTGAGGGGTTAGTTAATGGGGACTCTGTTTGATTGTCCCCAAAGTGGGCTCCCTCCAAGACAGCTCAATGGCTCTCTGGGGCAGAGCCATCTGTGTTGAAAGGAAAAAAGATGAGCAAATGACTATTTTCACCGGAGCCCCCTTCTTCCTACACTGGGGAGCCCAGCACTGCCTCCCTCCCCACTGCCCCCCTCCCCACTGCCCCACCCCCAATCCCCCCACCCCGGCCAGTGGACAGGAACCTCTCCCACCAGTAGGCCCTTACCTCCTGAGGAGGGGAAGCCGGGCATCCTGGAAGAGAGGAGAGAGACAGCCATGAGCAGGAGGAACCCTGCGCACAGCTGCTTACCTGTCCTCAGATGGAACAACTCAGACCATTGCCCGGAGTCCCGGAGTCGGGCTTTTTTACCCGACTGTGCCCTCAGTCCAGGGGCAGCAGCACCAGGGGCCTGCCAGGTCTGTCTGTCTGAGGCCTCAGGACAAGATATGATTGGCCCCGAAATGCAGGGCATTTGCCGGAAGTTTTGTCTTCCCTCGGGCTCACTCAGTCCCGCACCCATCCCGCTCCCCAAGCCCACAAGGGCGGCCTGGCCTCTACAAGTGGTCTGATGCCAGTAAAACCGCCATTTGAATAGCTTTGTTGCGCTGCCCTAAATCCAAGCAAATACGAGAATTTTCCCAGTATGAGATGTTCTCTCCATGGCCCCTATTTCTGCCAGTCCAGTTCAGGGACCTGAATTAGAGTGTCCCAAGTGACTGACGCTACAGCCTGCGGAGGAAATACCGCCACGGTCTGACTCAAGGGAACAGGGGAGCTCTGACCCTGGATCTTTGTCCAGGCTATTTATGCTCAGTCAGGACCCCTTCCATCCAGGACACGAGGGCTGCTCCCTAAGATGCTGCCTGCTCCGACGTCTAAGGCCCCTGCAGTCGCTTTCCCGAGAGAGAGGCTGGTGGGACCTACTTGGCATCCTGGCCCTCGAGCAGGCTGCGGTAGGTGGCGATCTCCTGCTCCAGCCGCGTCTTGATGTCCATGAGCTGCTTGTACTCCAGGTTCTGCCGCTCGGTGTCAGCGCGCATGTCGGTCAGCTGGGCTTCCATACTGCTAATCAGGTCCTGGATCTGTACCAGCTGCATGGCGTAGCGGCACTCCGTGTCTGCCAACGTGCTCTCCAGCCCGGCTTTCTGGGAAGGCAATAGGCAAGTTACGAGGGGAGCCAGACCCAGAGGAGGCCTGGAGGGAGCGGTCACTGGCCAGAGGGCCGCAGGCATACCATGCTGAGCTGGGACTGCAGATCGATCTCCAGGCCCTGCAGGGTCCGCCTGAGCTCCGTGATCTCTGTCTTGCTGGTCTGAATCATGGCAGTGCTGGATGACACCTCCTTGCTGAGCTCTGCACTCTGAAATTCAAGCAGGAAAAGGTGATGGAGAAGCTCAGATGGAAGGCTGGGCACCCCCTAGCTCTACAGGGTAAGAGGGCTGGGCAGCACCTGGTTCTGGAACCATTCCTCGGCATCGCGGCGGTTTCTCTCGGCCATGGCCTCGTACTGCTCCCTCATCTCCGCCAGCACGCGGGTCAGGTCAATGCCCGGGGTGGCATCCATCTCCACGTTGACCTGTCCTACCACCTGGTTGCTGAGCTCCTTCATCTCCTGTGGGGATGGGAAAGGAAGAGGTATGAAGCTCCTCATCTTTCCTGGTTCTGGATGCTACTGGAGAGTTCTGGAAAGCCTTTCCAGGTCCCACAGTGGAGGGCTGAGTCTGGCCACAGCAGTGGGCCCCCTGTGCCCCCTCTCACCTCCTCGTGATTCTTCTTCATGTAGGCCAGCTCCTCATTCAGGCTCTCGATCTGCATCTCCAGGTCGGTCTTGGCCAGGGTCAGCTCGTCCAGCACCCTGCGCAGGCCGTTGATGTCGGCCTCCACGCTCTGGCGCAGGGTCAGCTCATTCTCATACCTAAAGTTATTTAAAATTGAAAAAACAACACATAGGTGATATTAGACACTCCCCCTGCCTGCTGCACTGGACTCTTCTCCAAGACGTTCGCTCCTGGGAAGCTCTCATTTCATGGTTCAGATGAACATTCGTCTAAAATAAGAGACAGCTAGGAAAAGTCAATGAGAAAAATAAACTCACTTGAGCCGGAAGTCGTCCGCAGCCAGCCTAGAATTGTCGATCTCCAGGATGACCCGGTTGTTTTCGATGGTGGCTGCCAGGATCTGCAAAACACAGAGGGTGACTGCTGGAGGGTCCAGGAGCTTGGGGAAGAGGGTCGAGAAAACATGGGCAGGACTGGCTGTCGTCACGGTTTTCCACGTGAGCTGGGCCTTGGTTCCTTTTCTATAAAATGAAGGGCCAGTTGGATCCCTGCAGCTCATTCTAGCATTCTATGTCCTGCGTTCTGGTCATGACAGGGGAGATCAGAAGATGCATTTCTGGGAGATGACCCCTCCAAGAACATCTTTGGATGGTCAGGTCTCCCTGGCCTCAGACTAGCAACCTCTCTAGGCCACTGTCTTTGGGTCAGGAGCAAGTCAACCCTGGCTGCACGCAGTTCGTGACTGCACCGGAGCTGGTCTACCAGCCTAGCAGAGGAAAAATCCAACAAATATACCCATCCATTTGAATTCCTTTGTCTCAACGTTTCTCTTCCAAAGCACTTAAAATCCACTCTCCCGACCCCCACCCCCAGCTGGGACTCAGCCAGGACAGGTGATTGTGTTCTGACAAGCTGGCCTGACAGTGTGATGGACAGAAACGGAGGGAATCTCGGCTTAGCACTGCCTATGCCCCTGCCTCCACCTCCCCCACTTGGTCACACCCCGCTGAGAGTAACAGTTCAAATAGGGCCCCTACAAAATAAACTAGGCCAGTAAATAAACTTGTATCCCTTTCTCCATTGATTTTAGTCATTTTTAGTGGCTTTTAAAACTGTCATGGTTTCCAAATAACTCAGTGAGTGGGTTAGGAGTAGAGAAGTTGAGTCACTAGCCCTGGCTGGTGTGGCTCAGTGGATTTAGTGTTGGCCTGTGAATCAAAGGGTCGCTGGTTCGATTCCCAGTCGGGCACATGCCTGGGTTGCAGGCCAGGTCCTCATTAGGGGCCTCTTGAGAGGGAACCACACACTGAAGTGTCTCTCCCTCCCTCCCCCTCTCTCTAAAAATAAATAAAATCTTTAAAAAAAAAAGAAAAGAAATTGAGTCACTAATAACATAACTGGAAAGCAAGAAAAGCACTGACATGAGTATAAACAACAATAAAAGGGAGAATGGGAGAAAGTACATTTGGGGGGTTATAACATGCAGAAGCCCATCAGTAGTTAAAGTCTAGAACTTTCCCCTGTAAGAAGGGTGAGAATTCCATCCATACTGCACCTGCTGGTCCCATGGGGTACTACGTTTCCGGGCCCTTTCAGCTCAGCCCTACACAGAGGAACCCTCTTTGACATTCAAGGGCTCACCTTGTCCCTCAGCTCCTCAATGGTCTTATAGTAGTGGCTGTAGTCACGCTCCGGGCTGGTCGGGGTCTGCTTCTGGTGCCAGTCGCGGATCTTCACCTCCAGGTCGGCGTTGGCCTCCTCCAGGGCCCGCACCTTCTCCAGGTAGGACGCCAGGCGGTCGTTGAGGTTCTGCATGGTGATCTTCTCGTTGCCGGAGAGGAGGCCACCATCGCTGCTGCAGTAGTCACCGAAGCCACCTCCAAAACCCCCACCAAAGCCACCTCCAAAGCCACCTCCAAAACCTCCGCAACTTCCACCAAAACCACTACCAGCCCCTCCACCGAAGCCGCAGCTCATGCCGCCCCCATAACCCCCAGCAGATCCCCCGGAGACAAAGCGGTTTGAACAGGTAGAGACAGTACGGCCTCCTCCCAGCTGACAAGAGCCGCCCCCTAAACCACCTCCATAGCTGGCAGAGGAGCTTTGCAGACGGATGCTCATGATGAGAGTAAATGGAGAGCAGGTGCAGGCAGGAGCTTGGCTTGGCCTGGGCCGAGGACTGTGGCTCTACCTCTGTGGATGCTTTTTATACACCCTCCACAGGGGCTGGACAGTCGTCCCATCTTCTCTCCTCCCTTCCCCACCCTCTCACTGTTGCCAGCTGCGCCTCTTTGTTTCCCACAAGCCCAGTTACCTCTGCTCTCCAAGATAGGTTGTGCCTGTTGGGGGTGGGGGGGGGGCAGGCTTTTTTTTAATCCTGAACAAAAGGGATGATTCAGAGGAAACGGTGTTCTGCTTGAGACTACTCTTTGACGACTGAATTCTGTTTCACCTCTCCACTTAAGGAACTCGCTCCCAGAGGCTCTCAGCCCCACCCAATGCTGGAATGGGGACCTAGGTGCAAAGGCTGCGCAGCAGCCTCTTCTGAAGGCAAAGGTGCAAAGCGGCCCAATGCTTCGCGAGGCCGCCGCAGCCCTTGGCCTCCCCACTTCTTATTGCTAAAACTTCCAACCAAAATGTTCTGTATCCTTCTCAGCATTACCTCTACCCCAGTGCTACCAGCAGCTCTGGTGACAAACTCTGCTTGGTCCTGTAGAATCAACTACCTTGAAAGTGTTTAGACTAAGAATAAAATAACTCCAAGAGCATCCGATAAAAGTCACAAAGTCAAGGAACCTTAGGGACCATCCCACACAGCTCGGGAAACTGAGGCACAGAACCGGGAAGTGACTCTGTACATTATAATAGATCTTACTCTCAGATCTCTCCCCACATGCAGGCCCTGCACAAAGAACTTTATACTGGTGACTATAAAGTTTAACCTTTGCAGCAGCGCGACGAAGTGGGTCCTACTCTTATCCCCATTTTACTTGTGAGGAAACAGCCTGAAGGGCAGAGCCAGAACTGAAACCCAGGTCTGGTTCTGCTTAACACTAAGGCTCCTTCCTTAAGCATAGTTTTCATGTAATAAAATGCACAGATCCTGTGTCCAGCTCAATGAATTTTTACCTCTGCATGAAGTTTTAAGCATGTGTTCGCCTGAACATTTCCAGCCCCCTTCATAAAGTTCCTTGTGCCTTTTCCCAATTACCCGCATCCCACGCCCCTAAGACAACCACATTCCAGCTTCTGTCACCGGAGATCAAGCCAGAGGTTCTCCACCCCAGGGGCTATTTTGCTCCCCAGGGTGCACTGGACAATGTCTAGAAACATTTGGGGGGCACAACGGGAGGATGCTCCTTGCATCTGGAGGACAATGGCAAGGGGTGCTGTTAAACACCCTACTGTGCACAGCCCCCACAACAAAGAATTCCTTCACCCAGAACGAAGGGCAGTAGTGCCGAGGTCACGAAGCCTGGGTCAGCCTGACCCTGTGTTCCAGGAGCCCATTACACCAGCTGCCTTAGATGCACAACCATGCCTGGAAAGAGGGCCTCACAGCACCTAAGCCGAGCCATTTCTAGTCCCCCAGCTACATGACACCTGTCTCAGCTTGTGAGTGTTTCAGACAGAGGATGTGGCGCAGGTCCTGGGGCCAGGGTCTCTCTCAGGAAGTGGCTGAAAGTCAGCTGCTGCTTAGTATCCCTGCCGAAGGGGGCCTCACCACTCAGCCTTGAAGAAAAGGGCCTTGGGGTGCCCCCTCAGAGCCTGGGATAGAAGGAGAAAGTTCCAGGTCCTACAATGGAGCGTCCTGGACTTGGGATCCCAGCCCGGCTACCCAAGGAGGCCAGGGCTGCCGTGAATGAGCTCTCGGGAGCAGTCTTCGGGCCCATATCAGCCAGAGGGTCTGGAGGGGGCCAGACCAGAGCCTGGGGTAGGTGGCACATGTTTGCGGTTATCCTGGAAACCCCTTGGCTGATTCAGCAAGCAAGGCCAGAAGAGAGGGCTCTGAGTCAGGGCTTTCTTGCCCTTTGTTTTCTGCAGGTAGGGAAGCTGGCCCGTGTTCCACGCAGCGGGTGTCAGCACCCGGGAGAGAGCCAGGAAGTGCTGCCGGTGCTCAAAGACCGCTGTGAACCAAGGGATTCACATTGACCCCTGACCTGGCCCTGCCCTCCTGCGCCAAACTGATGGCTCAGCTCTCCCTCAGAAAAGGTTTGTTCAGCCCAAAGCAGGAGCTCTGGCTCTTTCAGTAGAGGATCAAAACTGACAAGCAGGTGATTAATGGAACCTGCCTGGCCTGGAGTGACAACCCTCCCAGGGCTGCTGAGCAGGTTCTGGCCAACGCCTCTCTGAGGACAATACCTCGGATCCTGCAAAGCCCCAGCAGTGCAAAACAGGGGGTGGCCATGGCCTGCGTCCCCTCGCAGGGTCAAGGCACGGCTCCTCCACTCCCCTCCCCACCAGGGACTTGTAGTGCCTCGACACAGGAATGCTGTCCTCTGACCCACGGTGAACCCCAGGGCCTACAGGTCTGGGGGACACATGCCAGGCCCTCCTGGGGGAAACTGGGCAGAGGCCCACCCCGGGGACCCAGTCTTCCCTCTTCCTGTCCCAGTTCTACCAGGGTAGGACAGAGTGCTGGGCTGAAGCACTGCTTGCTGGTCTTGAGCTTTCTGCTTTGCTTTCTCCCATCCAAGTACTAACCAGGCCCGACCCTGCTTAGCTTCCAAGATCAGACGAGATCGGGCGCATTCAGGGTGGTATGGCCATAGACTCTGCTTTGCTTTCTGGTCACACCAAATTCAGTGCCCCGCCCAGTAAGTTTCCAGGGAAGGAGAGGGAAAGCTGCCTTCGTGAGCACCCCTTGCAAACGAGGCTGCACTTAACACTGTCACTGAGTCCACCCAATAACCAGAGAGGGTGTTTACTGGCCCCACTTTATTTATAGATGAGGCAGCTGAGCTCCAGGGAATCCAAGCCATTTGGCCAAGGTCACCAGAAGTCAAGATTCAAACTTGGCCTCTGGCTCTCCCTACCCAACACAATGTTGTCTTAGAGACTTGCTGTGAACTCTATGTATGTTCTCTGTGTGTTCCATTCTATATGTGTTAAAAGGCAATAAAAGAACACTAGCTAATGTTTCTTGAACACTGTATTAAATGCTCTACTTGCATGACTTCATTGGGTCCTCAAAACAACACAACTATTTTTTTAAGATTGTATGTATTTTTTTTTTATTTATTTTTAGAAAGACGGGGAAGGAGGGAGAAAGAGAAGGAGAAAAACATCAATGTGTGGTTGCTTCTCATGCACCGCCCCCCCAACCCAATTGGGGACCTGGCCTGCAACCCAGGTATGTGTCCTGACTGCAAATTGAACCAGCAACCCTTTGGTTCCATGCCGGTGCTCAATCCACTGAGCCACACCAGCCAGGGCTATTTATTTATTTATTTATTTATTTATTTTTAGAAGGGAAAGAGAAATAGAGGGAGAGAAACATCGATGTGCAAAAGAACTATCAACAGGCTGTCTCTCACACACCCCCAGCCAAGGACCGGGCCTGAAACCCAGGCATGTGCCCTGACCAGTAATCAAACCAATGACCTTTCGGTTTGCAGGGCGACGCCCAACCAACTGAGCCACACCAGGCAGGGCTTGACTATTCTTATCACACTCTTCTTTCAGACAAGGAAACTGAGAACCAGCGAGGTTGAATGCATCGCCCAAACTCGATTGTGTCAGAGCCAAGATTGACACCTCTGGCTCCAGGGCCCGTGCCCATGACTACTGCCTGGTAAATCCCTCTCAGGCCAGTGTTAGTGCCGTCCTATTCTAACAGGGGTGTCTGCTGCGGACCTCTCCCTTCTCAGCTCCCCACCCCCCCAGGCCTGGCTGGTGGAGGGTCCTGCTTCCCACAGCGGCAGAGCCCAAGGAGCGGATGGCCCGACAGGCCAGCCTCTGTTGTCCGTCTCCGGCGTGCGCTCCGAAGCCCGGGGCTCGTGAGGGTGCTCACGGAGCATAATGTCAGAGGCAGACTCATGACAGGAGCTTCTCCACCCTCATTTCACATGCAGGGAAATGGAGACCCAAAATGCCAAGGCCCAGGGCCGTGGGACACAAGATGAAATGCCTGGACCTACAGCTCAACCGCCAGCTCATGGTGGGCCTTACGTTGAAATGACTTCTAAGTTTCCCTCAGCAATTCCCTTTCTGGGTCTCTGGTTCTCAAGGTCTCCATGGTCACCAGATTGTTCAGTTGAAGAGATGAAGCTGACACCCTGTCCTCAAACTCTGAATCCAGGGTTCCTTGTTTGGATCTTGGATCTTCTCTCCCTGGACCACAAGGGTCCCAGAGGCCAGGACGATGGACCCACCCCCAAAAAGTTCTCGAGACCCCCTCCCACAGGGGAGGGATCTCTCCTGAAAGGCAGACCCTTCCCAGACAGCAGGCCGGGCCCCCTGCCCTCAGAAGCACCTGCTGTACACAGCAGTACCCAGCAGCCTTGTACATAGTAGCCTCATGCCTCAGACACATACATTTCCGTAATACCCATCTTTCTGAAATCCTTTTTATGCTACCAGCGATTCCCAAAACCCCAGCAAGGTCAGCAAAGGCTTTGAATTCAGTGGGCCTGAGTTTTAACTCTGTAGGTGCCATCAACTAGCTGTGTGACGTTGGGAAAGCCACTCAACCTTTCAGTGCCTAGGTAGTGGCAACTGAAAACCAGGCATTAGGTGGGTTCATGTTAGAGACGCACTTGACGCTGGGACACTGGGCAGCGGACGGCTGCTCTTACCTCCCCTTTACAAATGAGGACATGCCAGCTCATAGTTGTGAAATGACCATGTCAAGGGTGCTTCTGGGCGCCGTCCTGTGCCAGTACATTGCTTTGCCTCCCTCTCTGTCCCCTGCAGCCAGCACGGCGCTCACAACAGCCAGACAAGTGGCAGTTGGTGGCATCCCTGTTTCATCTCCCCTCCCAGTCTTCCATTCCCTGAGGACAGGTCCTTGCCTTATAAAACTCTGCATATAGATCCTGGCACGGGGAAGCTACCCACAGACACTTAAGAGGCCGTTCCAGGGGCACGCCGTGCGCTGGCTTTGGCCGAGGAGTGGCAAACAGGAGTCGTCACCCCGGCTCCCAATCTCATGGGAAAAGCTACCAGCTTCCTATGTCCCCTGTGCCACCAGCTGCCTATGGAGGGACAGGTGAGCCCCAGAGGGCACATGCCCAAGGTACCAGTAAGCATCTGGAGCAGTGTCTAAAGCAAGAAAAAGCAAAGGAGAAACAAGTGCAGGTATTAGTTCAACAGCATTCACCTAGGACCCGCTCTGCGGACACAGCAGTGCATGGGGTAGACACGCCTGCTGCTCCAGGTCTCACAACACGGATTCCCCTCTGAGCTCCCAGGGTGCACAGCGACTCACACAGACCTTTGGGGGCATCGTGTCCAGCCAGACTCCTCCATTTCAAGATGGGGAAACTGGGACCCAGAGAGTGACAGGGGCCAGCAAAGTCCTCAGGGGGAGAGTGGCAGGCACATCCCGTGCTTGCTCCAGAAGCGCAGCCTGAGCAGAGCACACACCCAGGGCCCTAATCCCGAGTCCCAGAGCCGCCCTCACTCTGTGGGGAAAGGGAGGCTCAATGCCTGCTGCTCAGATTGGGTGGAATCCAAGCCCGACCTCAGCCCAGGGCAGGCAGAAGGCGGGCCATCTCTGCCACATACTATTTAAGGGCTCAGCCTGGCCGGAGCGGCCCCTGGGTGTGAGCAGCTCACTCCAGGGTCAGGCAGGGAACAGGACTTGGCAAGTCCAAGGGCCTCTCGGACAGCCCCTCCTGGGATCCCAGGAGAGCAGGAACATGTGGGCGCTCCAGGAAGAGAGAAACATCTTCCCTGTCCCCCAGCGCAGGGGCTAGCGCCAAGGCCGGTGGGACGAGGGCCAAGCCCCACCTTGCCTCTCTGTGCCTTTGCAGAGGTGGTTGTTATTCTTGCAAACTAAAGGCTGAGAAAACCCTTTGCTGACTGCTTAGAAGGCCAAACACTTTTCAACACAGGCCCAGAGGTGGGTGGGGCAGGAGCAGCAGCCAGGCCTTTGGGTCCGAGGGTCTCAGGAAGGAGGCTAGTTGTTTCCATGCTGTTTTGGGACGTGGTGCCTGCTGTTCTGGGGTTCAGCATAAGCTTAAACCACAGTGTGCAAAACCAAGCTGAGAGGCGAGGACAATCTTTCTGGCCGTAACGGCCACATGACACTTGAACAGGCTGCCCACAGAGGTTAAGAAGTGGGTTTCAGGTGCATACATCCTGGTAAGAAAGGTGTGTCCCATCTTCTGTCATCCTCATGACGTCAAGAATAAAAGCAAGGGCCTGGAATCAGAGAGACAGGTCCTAGGCTCAGTTTCACTAGTTCCCAGTTGTGACTGTATGCAAGTTATTTAACAGAACAGGAAACTGGGCCTCCATTTCCTCCTCTGAAAACTGGCACAAAAGGCTAATCTGCCTTCACAAAGCTGCAGGGAGAGTAAACGAGATGCCGTTTGTTGAAGGCCTTGCCCAGAGCCTGGCACCGTGTAGATGCTTGATAAATTCTGCTTCCTTCCTCCAGCCCCAGGGAAACCTGGTCTCAAGGTGTGTACTCAGGAGACACGTTCTAGATTAAATCTCCCCCAGAAGGCGCAGGTGCCAGCCTCTCTCCAACCAGGGTGCCTGGGCAAGGAATTTTGTGCAACGAGACCCAGGGACTCGGCTCTCCCCCAAAATGATCTGATTCTCAGGATAACAGAGGTACCCCCAACCTGTTCTTTCCAGCAGGATTAAGAAACAGGTTCTCCCTCTCCCCACTGACCCAGCCCAGCCACAGTACCTAGAGTCCTCGACTCCTCGTGCCCCGCCCTCTCTCTAGGGCTAAGAATCGCAGAGGCGCCAGCCCCAGACCAGAGGCAGCAGATCTGCTGTGCACCGAGGCCGCCGCTCCGACAGTCCCGAGTGCTGCAGGCGCGGGCGTCGGGAGAGCGAGAGTGGGATTGGGACAGAGGAAGGCCACAGGGGTGGGTGTTGCTTTGTATTTAAGCTTGAGGAAACCAGGAGGGGCTTCCTGGAGCTGATGGCTTCCTCTCTGGGCACTTTAAGTCCTTTGTGCAGAGGAGACGGGGCCAAGGGGGGGTGGGGTGCCGATGTCAAAGGGCCTGGGGGCCAGCTCTGCAGGGGGCAGAGGGGGAAACTGGCTCTGCCCCCTTGAGGTCAGGTGCACCCGTCTAGAAAGCAGCGGGGTTTAAATAGCGAGTGGGGTGACGGCCAGAAGCCAGGAGGAAGGTCCTGGCAATGAACTGCAAGGGGCCAGGGCCTGAGGTCCCAGAAGGAGCCCCGGTCTTGGAGTCATACAAACAAGGGGCTCCGTCTCAGCCCTGCCGCTTGCTATTCACCCATGAGGCTACTGGGCGAGTCCTGCATCTCCCCAACTTCCTCGTCTCTAAGTTTCTCATCTCGTCTCTAAAACGGGAGTAATCAATCCTGAGCACCCACAGCTGTGAGTATTAACTGAGCCCCATGGCTGCGTGTGCCTAGCAGAGCGCCGACCACACGGTGCTGAACCAGCACAACCGATGCAATCACTCAGTAAATCATCAGTCACTGTGTCAAGTTCTGTGCTAAGTTTGCACAACTGCTTTGAGGAACCACCTCCTCAGCTCCCCCCATCCTCTCCACCCCTGTCTCCCGTTTCCATGATCACCAAACAGAAGTCAGAACAACAAGTTACCTGAGCTGCATGGGTTTGTCCCAGGCACCCTGGGCACCCCAAAGAATGAACTATGACGTGACAGGGAAGAGGCCAAGGTTAGGGAGATGTCAGTATGTGGGCCCTGCGCCTCCTCAGAGGCCCCAACAAGAAAAACTGGACATACTACCAGGAGATATTTGCAAAAGGAAAAGCTATTTTTTTTTTTTTTTTTTATTGCATGGACAGACACAGTACAAATGAACTTGTTACGCAAAGGAGCCAGGGAGAGCTGGAGGGCAGAGGGAGGGAGAGCAAGCAGAGCTCCAAACCAGGAGACAGGAACCCTCCAGGGCTGGGCCCTCTGAGAGCAGAGGTGAGTGTGCTTTTCCAGCCCCTCTGGCCACTCCTCCGCTGAGCCAGGGGAGGATGGGCGTGTCGAGGGACGGCTCTCCTGCGCTGGGCGCTTAGATTTCTCTGTTGTGGGAAGAAACCACCTTCCCATCCACGGACTCCTCAACGTTGATGTGGAGCTTGCCACCGCCGCTGCCTCCCCGGGAGGCTAGAAAGAAGGAGCAAGGTTTAGTGTGGGGGACCCTCCCTGTTCTCTTCCATTCCCAAGAGGGCCAGGACCTCAGCTGAGCCCCCGGAGAAATGGACAGCGGCCCTGAGAACGGCCCCTGGCCGATACTGCGAGAGCTGCCAGCAGGGCTGGTGTTGAGTTACTCATTGCAAGGCAGCGGCAGGTGTGCCCTGCAGTGAACAAGAACGGCAGGGTTTTTAACTGCACGTGCACCGGGAGTGCTCCTGGGCATCCTAGTGTAAGTGCGTGAAGGTGGAGCCTGGGGAGCTCTGCCCTGGGCAGAGCCTGCTCAGCCTGGAAAGTTCCCGGTAAATCTTCAACCCCAAATCTACAGGGGCTGGTAGAGGGTCCCACTGGGCAAGAAGTATTGATTGCAATGGGCGTGTCCCTGCCCTCCTGGGATGATTGGCCTCTTTTTCCTTTCTCCCCATTCCAAGCAGACTGGTGGCTTCAACCACTCCCCTCTCCACTCAGGAACAGCTGAGCCTTCTTACCTTCTCTGGTGCCAACGCCAGCCATCCTGAAAGAGGGGGAAGCAGGGGTCAGCAAAGGCAGAAGCTCAAGTGTGCCTAAGGGAGGCTCTGGTGGCCGGCTCAGCAGTCCTCTCCAGCTCCCTACATGCGCCACCCCCACATCTGACTTCTCTAGAGGCTGAGAGCTCATCCAGATGGGCCACCTCCATGCAGATAGATTCTGATCTATAATAACACCCCATTTGTCTCATGCCGGGGATGGGGCTAGCATTAGCCCAATCGCTGTCATTTTTACAGAAGACACACAGGTCCAGGGAAGTGACATGACTTTCCCAAAGTAATGGTTGGAGACCAGAGTGCAGAATCCAGAGCCCTTCCTCCTGGCCCAGTTCTCTTTCCCTGCAGCACTCTGCACCTGGTAGATGACTCCCCACCCCCCCACAACTGGCCACCCCCTCATTCCCCCCTCAGCAGCCCGCCCCTGCCTGGCATCCTGGCCCTCCAGCAGGTTGCGGTAGGTGGTGATCTCCTGCTCCAGCCGCGTCTTGATGTCCAGCAGGATCTTGTACTCCTGGTTCTGAGACTCCATCTCACAGCGGAGCTCACTCAGCTGGGTCTCCAGGCCGCTGATGAGCCCCTGGATCTGCTGCAGTTGCGTGGCGTAGCGGCACTCAGTCTCTGCCAGCGAGTTCTCCAGCCCGGCTTTCTGCAGGATGACAGATCAATAGACAGCACATCAGGCTAGAAAGGAGTGTCAGGGGCATGGGGAGAGGCACTGAATGGATGCAGGGAACCCCCTCTGTGGCAGCTTGGGAACGCCAAGGGTGCCCATACCATGCTGAGCTGGGACTGCAGCTCGATCTCCAGCCCCTGCATGGTGCGTCTCAGGTCTGTGATCTCTGTCTTGCTGGTCTGGATCATCTCTGTGTTGGAAGCCACCTCCTTGTTCAGCTCCTCCGTCTGCAGGTCACGCACAGAGGAGTGAGCCCCAGGCACTTCCTGGGAGACCTAGGGGGCTGGGGCAGGCTGGGAGGTGAGACCCACCTTGCTGAAGAACCAGGCCTCGGCATCGCGGCGGTTCTTCTCAGCTATGGCCTCGTACTGCTCCCTCATCTCCGCCAGCACACGGGTCAGGTCCACACCTGGGGCTGCGTCCATCTCCACGTTGACCTGGCCAGCCAGCTGGTTGCTGAACTCCCTCATCTCCTGCGGGGTGGTGGCAGAGGGCAGAAGAGAGAGCAGAGAGCCCAGGATCAGTCCTGAACCTTCCAGGCTGAGCATGTCATTCCTGACCCTCCCCTAACTCACTATGTGACCTCGGCTCTCCGCCATATCCACTGACCCTGCTGCTCAGGAAGAGTTTTGGTCACATGGGCTCTCAGGGTCTCTCTTCCACTCTAGGTGCTACCAGGGGAGGACCTCAAGACAGTAGGGCCCTTGCATAAGCTTGTGGCTATGGATGAGAGCAGGAAAGGGGTCTGGGTCACCAGAGGACAGTCCCCCTCCCGCTCCTTGGAGTGCCCTGTTTTGGTCTGTGCGGGGTGCATTTCTGAACCACTAAGAGAACTCTGAAGAGGCCTCAGCAGCCCCACCCTGGCCTCAGCACCCCTACCTCCTCGTGGTTCTTCTTCATGTAGGCCAGCTCCTCATTCAGGCTCTCGATCTGCATCTCCAGGTCGGCCTTGGCCAGCGTCAGCTCATCCAGCACCCTGCGCAGGCCGTTGATGTCGGCCTCCACGCTCTGGCGCAGGGCCAGCTCGTTCTCATACCTGGGAAGAGAGAGGGAACCCAAAGGAAAGATGGGTGAGGGGTTTGGGCTGCTTGAATCAGGAGCAGGTGAGAGGACAAGACAAGGGGGGAATGCGGGAGGGGAGAGGGCGTCAGGAACGCACTTGAGTCTGAAGTCGTCTGCAGCCAGCCTGGCGTTATCGATCTCCAGGATGACCCGGGAGTTGTCAATGGTGGCTGCCAGGATCTGCAGGAGACAGAATCGGTGCCAAGAGGATCCTCTCTCTTCCCCGTTGCTCTCCCTGCCCTGTGCCCCAGGTTACCCCTCCCAACCCCCAGTGACAATCTCTCCTCTGTCACCGCCAACAGCAGTCTGTAGGGTCCTTGGAGCAGAGTCCAATCTTATTTCAGGTGCCCCCTACTTGGTCTGCCCCTGTCTCCAGGGCATGAAAGACCAAGGATCCAGGGCTGCCTGGCACCCCCTGTGGGAGCTCCCTGGCCAGGAGTGCAGTGGGCGGGGTGTGTATGGAGCGGGGGTGCTGACAACGGCCCCCTCAGGTTTACTCTACCAGCTCCCCTTGGGCAGCTCGGAGTCGCTGGTTCGCTGCACACCTTTACGCGGCCAAGGGTCTACAGGACATTCCAGCCAGTGGCAGGAACATGGCGGGCAACCAAGGAAGGCATCTGAGAGCTGAGGAAACCCGTGCAGGTGAGGGGCAGGGTGAGGAAGTGGAAAGCAGAGCCCGGAATGAGTTCCAGGTCTTCTAAGTCGCAGCAGTGCTTTTGGTACCAAAGACATCTGCAGAGGGCGTGGCAGGAGGCCCTGGCGCTCAGGGCTCCAGAAGCTACACTCTTCGTTCTTGCAAAAGAAGCAAAAGACACTTACGCGAAGCCCTGCAAGGTGGGAGGTTCAGGGGGAGCAATTGCTCTCTGTGATTGGGACCACCTTGGCCCCCACAGGTCCTGACAAGATTCCCTGGATCAGCCCAGCACTGCCAAGTTGAGCAGATGGGTGCCGGCACACACACCTGGAAAGCATTCCCCGGGCTCCAAGGTTGCCAAGGTTACGCACTAGCAGTCATTGCCTGGGCAGGAAAGGATTTCCTCAAGGCAGCAGGGGCACTGTTGTTAGAGATGGGGACAGGGCGCCAGCCACCTGCCCTGTGTCTCTGACCCTTGAGGGCTCACCTTGTCCCGCAGCTCCTCGATGGTCTTGAAATAGTGGCTGTAGTCACGCTCCGGGCTGGTCGGGGTCTGCTTCTGGTACCAGTCCCGGATCTTCACCTCCAGGTCGGCGTTGGCCGCCTCCAGGGCGCGTACCTTGTCCAGGTAGGAGGCCAGGCGGTCGTTGAGGTTCTGCATGGTGATCTTCTCGTTGCCGGAGAGGAGGCCGCCATCACCACCACCAAAGTCACCAAAGCCACCGCCAAAACCCCCACCAAAGCCACCTCCAAAGCCTCCACCGAAACCACTACCAGCCCCTCCACCGAAGCCGCAGCTCATGCCGCCCCCATATCCCCCTCCTGACCCCGAGGAGACGAACCTTGCAGAAGAAGCTGAGATACTTCGGCTCCCACCTCCCCCGTAGACACTCCCCACACCCAAGCCACCTCCCCCAACCCGGAGGGAACCCCCCCGGGTAGAGCCACCTCCGAAGGTGGAGGAAGAAGTCTGCAGAAACGTGGTGCTCATGGCCAGGCGGCGAGATCTCAGCAAGCGCAGGAGATGCTGGCGGGAGGCACAGGCTGCCCTGAAACCAGAGTGCTGTGCCTGTCACCCCCCCGCCCTGGGGCTTCTTATATACCCCGTGGAGGGTGTTGTGGGTTCATGTCTCCTCCCCCAAAGGGAAGCCAACTCCTTCTGCATTCCTGACAAACACAGCTGCCTGCACACCTCCACGGGGGCTGGTGGGGAGGTTTTCTTTTCTTTCTTTCCCTTTTTTTTTTTTTTTAACACAACAAAAGAGATGATTCAGAATAAACGGTGTTTCGCCCCAGGCCGTGGTTTTAACACTTGGATTTCAGGTTCATTTTTACCCTCCGATTGAGTACGCAGAGCAGCAGGGAGCAAAGTCGCGTCGCGCCGCAGCACAGCTGGGGCCGCGCAGGCCAGCTCTGCCCTTGGCCGGACCTCCTGCTGCCGACAGCCCAGGGTTCTCAGTCCCCATCCCTGCTCTGCGTCGTCCAGCTCACAGACCCCCATGGAGGATGCAGGGCCCCTGGCAACAGGCTGAGGGCAGGGGCAGGGGTCTCGAGTCAAGTTCCAGCTGAGGTGACCAGACGGGACAAGCATCTGTCACTACCTTGATGGGGCAAATGGACTCCCCTCCTCCACCCCATGCCCCCGCCCCAGCCCCACTGCGCTGGCACCCTCACCAAAGCCAGCAGGCTCAGGGCTGACAAGGGGCTGATTGATCATCCTGCCACCTGCCAGCCACACATGTCACTGAAACTTTGCTCACTCCTGGGACACGTTGGGGCAAACCTCTGCAGATAAGACTGGGGAGAGTTTCAGGAGGACCCTACCTTCGCCAGGGAGAGGCATGTCCCTGCACAGCAGGGACAGATTAACGCACTGCCTCCGTGTGTCCTGTGAAGCTGCAAGCCTTGGGGGACGGGAGGGGGCGCGGCCTGACCTGGAGGGCTGTACGTGCCTGAGCCGCGGGGAGGAAGCGATAGCGACGGTGAGGCCGGTGAGGCCGGCAGGCACACTGAGGTCCTGAGCGCAGAGGCCAGAGAGGGGAGCCTTTTTCTCTGCCACCAGCTCAGGGCCTGGCTTTCCAGGGATACTGAGACCTGGGAGTAGTGCCACTTGGAGGTGTGGCCTTGGCTCCAGGGCCTAGAAAGAACAGGGGTTGGGGGAAACAAGCAAGGCTGAAGTGGAGAGTCCAGAGGAGGGTTCCTGGCCCAGGGCTGCACCCCAGGGCTCTCGGGCTCCTCGGCCAAGGTTCAAATCCTGCCTCTATCAGTTACTGTCTGTGGAAACCTCTAAGTCTCAGTTTCCTTGTGGCAAATAGGCACTTCCAGTCCCCGCTCTCAGGGAACGCCTGAGGCCCAAGAGCCCCGCCTCCTGCCTTTTCCTAGTTCCCCACTTTCTGAAGAGCCAGATAGTGAGGTAAGGATTAATGTCTACCACCTGGGACTCCCAAGTACCCTCACCTGGAGGGACTTTTGTCCTTGGGCGTCAGTTGGGCCCTGTGAGCCACATCGCTGCTCCATATTCTTCCGTGGCCAGCGCATCCTGGGCAATGCCGGCCGTTGGTATTATTTCTGTAATAACAGTAATCCCTTACTTCCCCTGTATGCTTCACGGTTTACAAAGTGCTTTGCATCCAACACCTCCTCCAATCCTCAGTTCCCTTGAAGGTGATCCCTGAATTTCATTCAGAAGGAATGAAATTGGGGCTCAGCGACAGGGAGCGGTTTGGGAAGGTGGCATGGCTAGGAAGGGGCATTGCCAGGACTCAGTTAGGCCCTCTGAGCCCCATTCAGAGAGGACAGGAAAAGACGGTCTCGCCCACTGACCTCAGATTCCTGCATCTGAGTTGGGGGCGGGAGGGGGGCAGTGGGAGGGAGACCACGGGCCTGGGTGGGACGGCCCCGCACAGCACCTCAGTAAGCCAGGCCTCCGGGTGCCGGGCCCAGACAGTGCGGTATTGTCTCGTGGGTGGGAGAATATTGTCTTCCTCCCAAAGAAAAATAATCAAAGTTAGATCAGCCACAGCTCATTAAAGCCTCTGCAGACAGTACGGCCCCAGCAATTAACACGGGAACAATTACGCGCCATCTCCCCCGGGCGAGGGAGGGCTGGACCTCAGCCAGCCCCTCTTCTGCACACTGACTCCCCTTCAGCAGCCCCTCGGGGCGGCTTTCCCTCCACTCTCAGGCCCAAGCAGAGCAGCAGCTGGCCCTGTTGCAAAGCTCCCCCCCCCCCCCAGTTCAGTCCCAGGAGCTCCCTTGAGCTCAAGGTCAGGGTGGGGCCTTGGGGCCTGCGAATTAGCACGTGGTGGGGATGGCCGGCCTGGGTGGAAACCAGGCTCCGTTTCGCTAGGCCGGGCTGCAGCCTGCCCAGGACGCTGTGCCAGTTTCAGAACTTGGTCCACAGGAGACAGGCCAGCTCTATGGACGGCCTGTCTGCCTTGGGGTGGGGTGATGCAGCCCCTTGGAGAGCGCTCGGCTGGCCTTCTCCTCTGCGTGTGATTAAACCCCTAAGTCAGGGTCCCGACTTGAACTTGGGCCATTTTCCCACGAGGTACTCAAAGCAGTCAAAATCATGAAAACCGAAAGTGGATTGCGGTTGCCGGGGGCCGGGGGAGGATGGAAAGTGGCTGTTTAACAGGTACAGAGTTCTACTTTTACCAGAGTTACAAGAATGGATGGCGGTGACAGTCATACAACCACCTGAATGTAGTTGATACACTGAACCGTGCACTTAACAACGGGTAAGACGGGAAAATGTGTGTTATTTATTTTACCACAATTTAAAAAGAAAATTAGGCCTCAATGCGGACACAGCAACAAGGCCACAGGGAGCATTTGACAGCCACCGCCCGCCCCTCAAAGGGAGAGGCCAGGGACAGAGCGCATGACCCGAATTGGGGCCTGGACGGCTACCTGCGAATCCTTCCTTTCTCATTGCTTAACGTGCGGTTATCGTGCCTTCTCTCTCGGAGGCTCTGTCAACGGATCCGGAAAAGAGCAATAACTCCCGCTCCATCTGACTCTTGGGGATGGAGTGACATGGTTCACAGGGAGCACTCTGCAAACTGCAGTGGCCACAGAGAAGGAAAGACCTCCCCCTTTGCCTCTCTCCTTCTCTATCGCAGCTGCTTCTATCAGCAGAGCGCCCCTAGTTCCAGCTCCCGGACTGAGACGGAAGAGTGTCCCGCCCTTGCCCTCTCTCCACCACCCACACACACAAAGGACGGCTTCATTTCTGGCACCCAGACATGTGACCCAGTCACCTGCCCCACCTGTGTGGACCCAGAGTCCGCCCCACAGCCACATTCCAGGGGCCTCTGGGGCATGGGGGGAGGGTTTCAGCTGTGACAACAGAGGCTTTCAGGAATAGGGACAAATGCCTCTGGGCAATCCCAGCCTGAGGGTGTGGCCTGCAGTTCCAAGGCCTCCTGAGAAGTTAGGTGGGAGGGGGTCTGTGGGTGCTGCAGGCCGGAGCAGGAGATCTCGGGAGGTGGCAAAAGGGGCTCCAGGCCCAGGACTGCAGCAGGCAAGAGAAGAGCGGGGCCTAGAGTCGCCAGCCATGTTGTTTGGATCAGACTAATAAACCTCTCCCAGGCCCACGGGCACGTGGCAGAAAGTGCGCCACATTCAGGATCAGCATGGGAAGTGACAGCACCGCAGGCCTCCTTAGCACAGTGCTGGGCTCCCAGTGCCGAGCGTCGCATTCCCCTGCAGACCTGCCGGGGGGTTGGCAGCAGGGTAGTGTTCATTGCTTGCCCCTCCCCGTCACAGGGTAGGCCTGCTGTGGCAAACCCATGGGACCAGAACAGATCCCCTCAGCTTGAACCTCTCAGCCAGGGTGAAGTGGGACTGACTTACCTTTAATTGGCCTCAGTGCTTGGCAACTGAGCTATAAACCACAGGGGCAGGACCATACCCACCCGAGGGCAGAGTTGTACCAGGAAGCTGGGACTTGTGTTCCCGTTGGCCCGGCCCCAGGCAAGCCAGGCTGGGGGTCTGTGTGGGAGGTTTGGGTCACATCTGGGTCCCATTCCAGGCTCTGGGCCCAGGTATGGGATGGTGGGTGTAAGGGGCTTACGTGGGACCACCCAGAAATGGATGAATATATTAGTGCCTGCACAGATACCCACAAACAGGCACTCTGCCCTCATTACTCAGCCTCTCACCGCAAAGCCCCAGTTTCTCCTCTGTCAGGTGGACAAATGTGTCCACAGGAATTGCCCCAGAGGATCCCTGTCCCAGACCTTCACACGGGGCAAGGCTGAAATGTCCTGAGAAACTGGCACAAGCGGTACCGATCCTGGGGGATGTGGTGTAGGACTGGCGCCGTGGGTTAAGGACTAGGAAACCTAGGTTCTGGTCTTCATCCTGCCATGTGTTTGCTCTGTGGCCTTGGAAATTTGCTCTACATGATACAACTCATACTTACTACCTTTTAGGGTTGGTTTGATTGAATGGCACATAGTAGGTGTAGTAAACATTAATTTCCTACACAAGCACCAACCTTAGAGGTGTACAGTTGAAAGAAAACTAATCTGGAAACAAAAACCAGTTTCAAATCCCACGTCTGCCAGGTGTTAAAAGTTACATATACAACAAGCCACTTTACCTTTCCGAGCCTTGGTTTACCCCTCTGTAAAATGGGAGCAGTGCTTATTTTATAAGCTTGTTTTAAAACACAGATTAATGAAGACATCTGCAGACAGAATTACTGTAATAGTTGGAGTTTGTGAGCACCCTCCCCTCCATTTCCTGGGACAGGCTGGACTCTGGTCCAAATAAAACCTAAAACGAGGCCAAGCCCTGGCCCATTTCCACGGACTAAAATAATAAACTTGATGCCCTTCCTCCCTTAGGCCATAAAGTTTTATTGACGGGTCAGAGGAGGAGACAGAGGTAAAGGTCCCGCCCCTCCCACGCCCCTACCCAGAAGCATCCATCCCTCTGCTGGAAGCAGGAAACCAGGGAGGCTGCTGCACTTAGGCAGTCTTG